GATCTTTGGCCGGCATTGCCTGGGCCAGGACGACGTGGCCAGGGACGACATCATCAAACACGCCCCCGCCGCCGGGGTATTCTACCATCTTCTGGTAGGTGGTACCGGCAACCTCCTTGCCTGCCCTCTTCGTCCGTGGTTCCTGGACGAGAGGAAGCGATGGAGCAGCATCGCCAGCAGCAGTAAGGTCCACGACGAGACCACCATCGTCCACGCTGGGGACAGTCAGAGTACCGGCCTCGGTAGTCGGAGAAGGAGAAGGTGCCCTCTTCGTCTTCTTGGAGACGTTCAGGCCGGCTTCAGTTAATTTTTTCTGGCCGTCAGTGGCCGGCCTTTTCTTCTTCGCTGGGGCAGGCTTTGGGGCCGCACCAGTACTAGCCCCGCTCCCATCGGCCGCGGCACGTCTGGCCGCCTCGGCCGCCTTAGCAGCCAACTCCTCGGCCGCTTTGGCCTTGGCAATAGCCATTATGGAACGACGATCCATCGCAAAGTCTACAAAGGAAAAACACAAACAGATTAGTAAGGCAAAGGAACAAAACATAAAGGCAGAAAGCCGAAGAAAGAATTACCATCGGCCTCAGCAGGAATGCCCAAATCCGGGCCGTCGGCCTCTTCAATGGTGGTGGTCATCCTCGGCCAGAGTTGGAGGTCATCCTCCTTGTCACCATAGACATGGTACCTCAAGAAGCCGAGGGCGGCCATCTTGTACTCAGTAATGTACTCCTTCACGCTCCTCGGCCCCCCTTCCAAGAAAGCCTCCACCTGAGCGTCCAAAATAGAGCTCTTCGGCGGGTCATGCAGGTTAAACCTCCCGGTGTGGCCGAGGGAGGGAAACTCGGTGCCACTCTCACCAATGGACACAAACACGAACTTGCTCTTCCACCCATGAATGGACGTAGGCAAATCCGTGAAGCTCCTCTTCTTCGGCAGCTGTTGAAGAGTAGCATAGGCCGCACAGTTCTTGTGGCTTCCTCGGCCGATCTGGTACAGATTCATGAATAGTGCCGTTGTCGGCCTGTAGCCCAGCTCCTCACACCGGAGCAAAAACCCCACCATCAAGGAGTAGCTGCTCGGCGTCAGCAAGGCCGGAGGAAGCCCTACCATGTCCAGGTACTCAGTAATGAAAGGGTGAAGGGGGAACCTCAACCCCTTAGCAAAACTCATCGGGTATACTCCAAAGTATCCCGGTGGTGGAAGAAGAACATGGTCCGTCGGCCTGGGTGCCCTAACCCGCCCGAACGGCCCCACGTACATCTGGGCAACAAGATAGTCGGCCGCACTGCACTCCGGCTTGATCAGGTAGATGTTGGTAAGATCCAGGTAGGAGATGCCGGGTCCACTCTTCGGCCTCCTCACTCTCTTCGGCTTAGCGGCTCCCTTAACGGCGGACACCGGCCTCGGGCACGGAATGACAGCGGAAGTGGACGCCCCGTCCACCACTCGGGACGCACCTGCGTCCTCACCCCTTGAAGAAGAGGCGGACTCCTCGTCCTCGACCTCGTCGCCCATCAGTTCTTCGGACTTGTAAGGACTTAAATGTTGTATCTCCTCCTCGAACTCCTCGAGCACCTCATAGTCAAGTGACCTTGTGGAGGGCTGGTCGTCGTAAGGATAGTAGTCTTCGTTCAAGCTCTTCATCACAACTACTACGAGCCTAAGGGAGGTAACTTAGGATCTAAGGGTGCTCAAACGCCTAACACTAAATCACTAGCCTAGGAAGCAAAGTATGCACAAAGTACAGAAGATGGCGATGAACACTAACCTTGAACAACGACGAACACGAAGAACAGGCTTGGGAGTTTATCTCTCTAGAAAAATGGCCAGCACTTCGACAATTCAGAAGGCAAATGTGTTTTCTCGTCGGAGGGGGAGGGGTATTTATAGAACCCCCCCACCCAACGGTTACTACACGTGGCACCCTCCCAATGGCCACAACAACGGCCACCAATGGGAGGCCACCGCGTCACCAACGGGCCAGGACCAACCCACATCGACAGCCCACAGGCAAATCAGACCCCACGGCCTACACGCTTGCCGGTTTTACAAGTACCAGCAAGAGCCCACAACGTCCCATTTGCTTGCCAGGGGACTACATCGGCCAGGAACGTAACAAACGCCCATAACGGCCACAGAACAAATGAACAAAGAGCCCACAGCCATCGGCTCCTCGTACTAACCCTTGATGATAACTCTCTACAAGCGATCCGCGCACAAGGGTTCTCCCACAGGGTTACCTTGGCCAGAAAATCGCCATGAGGGTTGGATTCAGGGGGACTACGGCGAGGTCGCTTCGGCCAGGGACTCAAGCAACTCCTTCACCCCTCACACTCTTCGGCCTGAAGTAGTGGGGGACTGGGGGACTACATCGGCCTCAACAAAACAAACAGGAACAATACGAGGTGCCATGGATGTAACCACAAAGCATGGCCACATCGTCCACGCATCACAATGGCACCTCGTCGGCTAGAAGCACATAACACCATCAACAACGGCCAAAAGAAGTACGCAAGCACCCTCATCGGCCACCCAAAGGAAAGGGCACCATCGTCCTCAAAGGGAGCAACCTCAACGGCCTCATCGGCCCAAAGGTAAACTTCAACCATCAGCGCCCAAGCAAAACGTGCCTTCAACGGTCACCATTGAAAGAAGGACACTCATCGTCCCAAAACGAAGACATCAAGTAAACAACGGCCTCCCTGTCCACAACAAGGAACAGGTAACGGCCAAGGGCAACAAAGCATGGGAATCTACTCTCCTTCACTTCGTCTACGTCTCAGCTTAGAGAGTGGGGGACTCCTGATGGAGTATATGGGTCTGAGCCCCTGGACCCACATACTCGGAAGAGAGAAAGCACAAGACAACAGAGGGGCGCCCTCGTCGGCCAAGACGCCCCCGTCGGCCGAAAAGGGGCCAACTCGGATTACGGTCCTGAGTCTAAGGAACCCGGGTGCCCTCGTCGACCGTGCCCTCGTCGGCCGTGCCCCCGTCGGCCACGCCCTCGTCGGCCACGAAGACCTCCCAGAATCGGATTTTATTCACACTCATTTGTGCAGCCCATTAGTGGCTTTGTATTCGGCCCAGTAGCGGTCCAGTTGTAAATGGGCCTCCCAAGCCTTGGGCTTGGGAGGCCAACCCTAATTTTCTCTATAAATACTCCCTTTGGGAGTAGTTATGGGGGTTACAAATTCATTCTATTGAAGCATATTATTGCACTTCTCTCTCTAGCTCTCACTTCTCTCTAGATATACTCTATCACCCAATATAGGAGTAAACATAAACATAATTGCACAAATAGGAGTAAAACTTAAAACTTCCTTCAATAGGAGTAAACATTAATTTTGTACCCTTAATATCCCTAACCTAGTTAATTCTAAAATATGACTTATTTAATCCTAACCTACTTAATTTATGACTTATTCGATAATAATAATTTATTTATTTATTTATTTTTCAAAAAATAAAAAAATATTTTTTTAAAAAAAAATAAAAAACTCAAAAAAATAAAATAAAATTCACTGCCGCCTCTGCCGCCTCTGCACCACCACCTCCAGTCATCAGGGGGGAAATGCCAAGTTCATTACGAATGCCATATTTATGGCAGAAAACAATGAAAATGTTGGCATTCGCAAAGAGAAATATGCCATGTTTTTGGCATTTTCAGGAAAAAATGACAGTTTTTAGGAAATGGAATTTTTTTCACCACTCGAAGGTGGTGGTGCAGGGAGTTAGTATAGGCGGTGGGAAATGCATCCATATTTTTTTTAATTTTTTATGGAGTTTTACTATTTTTTTTGTTAATTTTAAAAAAAAATCAATTTTTTTTTTAATTTTTATTGTATTAATATTTTATAAATTTTTTAATTATTTTTCTACGATTTTTTGAATTTTTTTCGAATTTATTATGAATTAAACATTTACTTAAAAGTTGTTGGGCTTAAGGCTTGGGTAGGGTTATACTTTTCAAAACACTAAAGTTAATCTTATTCAAAACATGGTACTCCTATTTTTGCATTTTGCCTATGTTTTGCTCCTATTTGGGAAATTTTGTCTTAGTCATTCTATTGAATTTGGTAATTTCAAAGGGATTTCAATTCTTATAAGTTTTTGTTCCATTAGGCGATTTCTTATCCTTTTATCAATCATCATGTAAATACAATCGTTGTTTTGAAAAGATCGATGTTCAATTTTGGAAAAACCTTAAGAACAACAACGTCACTAAGAAGCGGACGGCCTAGCAATCGTCTAGGGTAAGGTTGGAGAACGGCACCGTTGGGACTTCCGGCCGCGTGGGTTATAGGCTTCCAGGTATGGATTTATACTGATAGACGATCAATCGCTCGTTTTCTTTGGAGTTTAATCGCGATTGGAGACAGACGAAGTATCACGCGTCAATTGTGTTGGTGATCTAATTCAGCCAGTTGGGTTGAATTTCTCTCGATTCAATAGCGACGAACCAAAACCAGACAGAAGGAAGGTATTTACCACCGATTGGAGCTGAATAGTAGAGGTCCGTCTAGCTCGCGTATCGGCAGCGGAGATGTGGAGACTGCTTGCTTTCGGATTGGTCGTGTTCATGCAGTACTTTGACTAAGAGAAGGAGGTGACTCACGGGAAGATCAAAGTGATTTACTATTTGAAGGGGAGGATCTGCAAGACTGATTTACTATTTCTAGTTTGTTGTTTTCAATCCAAATTATTTTACTATTTCTATTTTGTTGTTCCTGTGACAAATAATAAGGGGGTAGATTGGTGCATTGTTTTGTTTTAGTTGATAGATTACTGCTCGGAGGCAATCATACTGATTCAGCCGCTAATTGTTGATATGCTCTCACAGTTTTAGTGATTAGTCTTGCTCTTCCTAGAATGGACTATTCTATGTCTGATTATGACGTGAGGGGGACGATGAGCATTGGTTTTCCATGGATAGAGGAGAAGTTGATAAACTAAATTAGTGAGAGTGAACAAAAAACTTGCTTTGAAAGCAAACGTAGGGAGTACAATATTAGTAAGCTAACATCCAATTAGCCATTTAGCCTCTAGTTGGATGAACAACCTTTGTAGCAATGCGCAAATAATGATAGCCAGAAAACGCATGGACAGTGGTGACAACTCCTCCGATGATTGAAGAGAAAGATGTAAAGGATTGACATGGCTTTTCAGAATTAGTTTTCACCAGTGTTGATACTCCTGTCCAAAGCAGAGCCTCTTCTAAAGCGAACAAAACCCTGCCATATATGTGTACCCCATTATAATATGAACAATTCATATACACCTTCTTATACACTTGTCTGTGACTGACCATTTTTTTATCTGTGAATCAGCGTGTTTTGTCTGTCACAGATAAAAAAAATATCCACAGACAAAACACAGACAAAACCCTCCCAAATTTTTTGTTATATATATATCTATGTGTGTGTGTGTGTGTGTCAGAAAAATAATTAGAATACCCCAAACTTTGAAGGGGTGTGAGGTACGCACCCCAAACCTACATATGTAATTTAAATAACCCAAACTTTATATAAAAAGTTGATTTAGCACCATTGTCATGTATTATTTCTTTCAAAAATGTTAATTTTTTGTGTTAATTTCATAATTTAAAATATTTTTGCATTCTTGAAGATACAATTAACATTCTAAACTTCCATTGTAAAATAAATAATACTACACCCACTCTATATAATTGCAACATTTTTAATTGGGAAAGTTCCCGAAATAGGACAAAAATAGTTTCAAAATTCCAAAATAGGACTCCCATGTTTTTTATTCCCAAAATAGGACTAATTACTGCAATGTTTTGAAAATACTGACATGTTTGAAGTTTGGTACTGTCAAAACATTGCAGTAATTAGTCCTATTTTGGGAATAAAAACATGACAGTCCTATTTTCGAATTTTCAAATTGTTTTAGTCCTATTTCGGGTAATATCTCTTTTTAATTTGCTATTTTAAAATATGCAATGAAGTGATGAACACCGTAAATTTACATTTTTGAAAGAAATAATATATGAGCATTGTGCTAACATAACTTTTTATATAAAGTTTAGGGTATTTAAATTACTACATATGAAAGTTTGGGGTGTTTATCTCACACACCTTCAAAGTTTGGGGTATTTTAATAATTTCTCCCATGTTTGGGGTATTTTAATAATTTCTCCCATATATATATATATATATATATATATATATATATATATATATATATATATATTGGTTCAAATTTAACATGATCTTAGAAGAGAAATTAGAATGAATCTGGACCGTTAGATTTGCTTTAAGTGAAATTCAATGTGCATAAGATGAATTGAAGTTGTAATATGTATCAGGTGAAATTGAAACGTGCAGCACAAAGAGTACGATAGAATGACAGTATGTGAAGCTAAATTGTGCATTAGGCGAAATTGAAATGTGCATTTGGTGAAACTGAAATGTACAAAATAAAAGGTACAATGTGATGTTATTTTTGTACATTTTATTCCGCACATTTCAATTTTACCTAATGCACACTTGAGTTTAAATATTTATTATGCACATTTCAATATGATGTAATGCACATTATATATATATATATATATATATATATATATATATATATATATATATATATATATATATATATATATATATATATATATATATATATATATATATATATATATATATATATATATATATATATATATATGTGAAGGGGTTCTAATGAGGAAGCGGTCCAGCCCAGCTGGTCGTCGACTCACTACTCTCCGACCCTTACGGGAGGTCTCAGGTTCGAAACTCAATGGAGTGAGTTTCACCTAGATTACTCTGGGATGCCCCAGTCCCCCTCCCCCAGACGCCCCCTGGAGTAAAAAAAGGAAGGGTTCTAATAAGAACAACCCTTAACGTGAGAACGTAAGAACAAATCGTGACCTCTTATCTCATAAAATGGATGATGATTAACGTCGATGGTCCATACTTATATGGTGGAAGGACAACAAAGTAATCCACACGTATGTTAATAAAGGGCAACAAAGTAATTTCCGTTAGAGGTTTCACTTATCAAAAAAATAGGAAGAGATGAAAGGTCAAATCACATAAAATATTTTTAGTTTAAAAATCGATTTAACTTTGTTAAATAATAATCTGATTTTAACAAAAATTATATCAAATTAAATAATTTTCTTATCTTTCATTTGACACCAATATGTCAAATATAATTTTCTTTTTAAAAAAATAAGTATACTATGTATACAATAAACCACAAGAAACGTCTTCATATATACATGCACAAGAATATGTATCAGACACACAATAACTTATATCTAATGCACAAGAGCCGGTATCTAAAACACAATACATATAAGAAAAATTAAAACAAGTATCTTAAGCACAAAACCCAATATATAATGCACAAAGAACAATATCTGACATAGAACAATTAAAAACTGCATAGTAATTAATATGTAAACATAAGGATTTCACACAACTTAAACTAATATATAACACACAAGAAACAATATCTAATGCACAAGAAATATTAGTGATTAGGTATGTACCTAACGCACAAGAGCTATTATCTAACACACAAGAGCTATTAAAAAATTATTATATCATATGTAAATTATGCTCCGCGTTAGAATAAATCAAGAGCTGTTATCTAACACACAAGAATATGTAGCTAACACACACGTATAAATATCCAATACACAAGTACAAGTGTTCAACGCACAGTATGTATAACAAAACACTATAATAAGTATCTCAAGCACTAAATCCAATATTTAATGCACAAAAAGTAAGAACTAAGTAATATCATAACAAGTATGTCATGCACAACAACCGATATCTAACACACAACCGCGAATATGTAATGCTTATGAACAGATATCTAACACACAACTCATTTATGTAATGCACATGAACATGTACATATCTCACATTTTGTATATATCAATTGTGCATTACTGAATGTGTGTTATGCATATTAGAATAAGTGTACATTAGAATAATTTGTGTATCACTATATGTTAGTTGTGCACTATAGTCAATTGTACAATGATATTACGGAGCTTTTAGAGTTTTTGAGAAAATGGTCTTTGAAAATAAGATAGTGCACAAAAGTACTTCACTTAAAAAAAAATGAAAATCATTATTAAAATGAAGACATGGCTCCTTACATTGAATATGTCAAACAAAAAAATGGAATGCACTACGAATATTTTCTTTCCTAAAATGAAGCACACGTATTAATTGAAATGACGGTTACAAAACTATCAAAATGTTTTATGTGAAAATGCCCTTTGATACTTATTCGATCATCTCAATGCATTTTATAATTTGAATGACTCAGATTTATTTTCACGTTCTCACGTTAAGATTTGTTCTCCTTTGAACCAAAGTATATATACTCCCTCCGGTCCTTAATTAACTTTACACTATCCTTTTTGGGTCGTCCCATATTAAACTTTACACTTCCTTATTTGCATTATTTGGCAAACAAATCTACACCAAAAAGTGTCAAACAGTGCCAAACAATGTCAAACAGTGTACTCTACAGTAAAGTCAAAATTATTTCCTTAATATATGTGAAGTTAAAGTGTAAATTTCATGGAGGATCGGAGAGAGTATATATAAATAATATAGACACACATGTACATAGTATAAACGTTCAAACGTACCACGTGATAACAAAAAGAAATCTTGCTTTGTTCTGCTGTGAATCTCCGTTGCTTTTCAAAATACTGCAACAAAGGCCAGAGAATAGAAACCACTGAGCGATGATGAGAAGGATTGGGCTCATTACGAGCGCTATGACAAGGGGCGCGCTCGCCGACAAATCACACTTGGTCCTGTCAGTCCGGTCATGCACCTATAATTAATTACATCCGCCGGCCGGGATATAGAATTCATTAATCAAGCAAAATGATTGAAAACTTAACTTATATTGATATCTTATTATAAAAATAAATATGCAAGCTAGAAGAATAATATAACGAGGAAATACTACGTAGCAATAACGTAACGTACCCAAATATATTTGATAGTTCCTGCTACAATCCCAACGAGGCCTGCTACAATATCAAACGCAACAAAAAGACCAATCTGACACTGATCGGGAGAAACCATTTTATTAGCCTGAGGTTAACAACTCAATTAAGTGGAATTGAACTAACGAGGTATATATGATCGATATTTATATGGGAAAATTCAGGAAACATGTTATGCGAATTAAAACTTTTTTATCTTTGAATTGTCGAAGTAATTTTTAAAAGCTTTTCGAAAAATAAAGATCTTTTTTGGAAGATACGCGTACTCACAAGCTTTTGAGAAAATGGTGGTAACTTTTAACATTAACGAGGCACAACAGTTTGATATACCGAAGAGAACTAGATCAAACAATCGATTTTTTATCAAACAATTACAACATTTTACTTTTAACATTTTTTCAATTACTAAAAACTAATAATAAAAGACAAAAATATGACTTATTGTAAAATTTTCAGTTACTAAAAACTAAGAAAAGACAAAAATATTTTTTTTCAACTAATTGCGTCAAATAAAGTCTTTTTTCCATGAGTATTACTACGTATTAAATTAAAGAGTTTTTGCCATGTTCGATCCCTCAACTATTATGTAAGTTACACTTTTGGTATACTCCACTTCTAATGTTTCCATTTTTAGTCTTCAACTATTGTGCTAGAGACGCTTTTAGTCATCGACTTCACGATTTCCCACATTTAGTCCCCTGATTATTGTCAAATTGACACTTCTAGTCCTCCCATTATGATTTAGACACAATAATTGAAGGACTAAAACTGTCACTATTATAATAGTTGAAGGAACAAAAATGTCACTTTTATGAAAGTTGAAGACTAAAATATGAAAACTTTAAAGACGGGTACCTCTCTAGCGCAATAGTCGAAGACTAAAAATGAAAAAAGTCAAAGTCGAGTACCAAAAGTGTCAATGTCATAATAGTCGGAGGACTAAAAGTGTCAATAACTCTTAAATTAAATTTAAAAGACAAAAGTATGACTTGTTTTATATTTTTCCAAAAAAGTGATATATTCAATGACTAGTTCCATGTGACTCATTATCTACTTGTGATTTGTCACTCCGAAATATAGTATAGTGACTAATGACCGGTTACTCGTATAGGGTGATTAAATATACTTTTGTCCAAAAATTTCGTTACTAATATACAATGTCATTTTTCTCATATACTACGTATATCTTTATCTTGCTGTAAAGGTTAGCACTACGTATTATAATTCGTGCCTTGTAATGTGCGGCTACCCAAAAGCTTAATACTTTGTCCGGAGACCGGAGTACTTCCTTCCATTAAAAAAGTTTTACAAAAATGAGCCTACTGGACAGCAATATTGTTTCTCTCGTTGCAATATTTTAATTATCTTTCGTAATGAAAATTATACTAGTATGTTTTAAAACTAGATTATAGGATTCACCAAACCATAAAAGACAAACTGAAAAATAGTAAAATCCATTCTAAATTCAAAGAATAAAACATTTTTTGTTGATCCAAAAGATATTTTTGGAAATTACTTTCTGTAGAAAGAAAATATCAGACAAAAGAAATCTCCCGATTCTTTTTGCACCGTGCTAAAGTAAAGTCGTCTCTCCATTAAATAAGGCAAATGCCATGATAGTGTTTCTGGCTTTTTATTGATCCTATTTGGTTCACTTTCAATTTGTTCTTGAAATTTAGAGATCTCATTTGAAATAGTCAAAGTTAATGAAGTGTTACGCGATATTTTAAGATTGTACTACGTGATGGATAGTGTATCCCGGGGGTAACTTATCCGAAGGGTTATTACGGGGAGTAATCTGAGAGAAGTCGGAGCAAGTAAATCTAGAGAGAGAATATATTATAAGTGTGGAGCGTTTTCAGCGTTTATGACTTGGTTACAAATGGGGAAAAGGAGTGCTATTTATAGTAGCAATAAATGCCGGACAGGGACACGTGTCAAGCGTCCATTGGCCGAGAGGTCACCTCATCTGGTTGGCGCTGGCAACCGCATGTGGCCGCATTTAATGCGGCTGTTGGATGGGACGTTGTACAGGGTACAGTGATCTGTACGCATGTGGCGCGGATATTATGTCGGGAGAGGTGCCCTCGGCTGCGGAGGACTAGCCGAGGGCTCTGAGTGCCGGGGACCCCTGGGTGCCGAGGGCTCCAGGTGCCGAGGGCTACTGTTTTCTGCCGTTTTTCCCAGTTTCTTAGTTTGCTCGAGAAACCCGTTCTGTGAGAGTTTAGAGCCTTCGGCCAGGGGGCCGAAGGCACCCCTGGTGCGCCTTGCGGGCTGCTTGGTACTCTGGGCGCTGTGATTTGGGCCTGTTGGGCCTTCTGGGCCTGTTGGGCCTTTACTGGAGTAGTAGGAGTCTGTGGGCCGGATGTTCCCGGGCCATATACTCCATCAGGAGTCCCTCACTCCTTTTGCCGAAAGGTACTTGAGGGAAAAGGAGTAATTTGTGTTTGTCCCCTGCCGTCGTTCCGTTGTAATCTCTGAGGTTGGTGAGGAGTTGTTGCTTGCATGTCCCTACCGAAGGCAGTCCCTCAGTTACCCACATGTCGGGACTTGAGGGATTGCTTTGCCGCCTGTTGGAATTTTTCACCAATTTTGTAGCTTAATGATTTTCCCGAAGGGGTTCTCCAGTCCCCCACTCCTTGAGGCACTTGTAAAGTGGTGAAAAGGAGTAGAGTTTAGTCCGTTGTAGCATGGGGCCGAAGGCTGACGCTTTTCGTTTCATTTTGGGGGGATGTCTCGTTAAAAACCTCATTAGGAATAACCCTGGGGGAAAAAATCCTAATGAGGGAAAAAGAGTGCACCGAATTCCCCCAACGATGAATCGAAAATGTGAAGCCTTGGTCAAAAATGGAGAATGATGGTAATGCCGAAGGCTCTCCTTGTTCTGAGGGCTCATGTGTTGAGTAGCCGGAGGCTTGCTGTTGATGTCCTGGGAGGTGTCGAAGGGGGCCCCTCAATCTGGGGATCGAGGGCGTGATGGATGAGATATGTAGTTGAATTGTCACCGGGGTGTCCCCTGCTGGCTGATTAGTTGGTGATGAGGATATCTGAGGGCTCCCCTTACACGTGTGCCGTAGGCTATCTGTCAATGAGGCATACTTCCCGGGGGCTACCCGGCCCTTACAGTGCTGAGGGGTATTCCCGAGGGGTGGCCTGATATGAAGCCTTGGGCTTCTGAAGGAGTGATCCCGAAGGCGTCTGTTATGTACTGTGTGGGGGATTACCCGAGGGCGTCTCCGGGTAAGTGTACCCGGAGGCTCTCCTTGATGAAGTGGAGTGAAGTAAGAAAACCCGGGGGCTGTCAAAATATAGCCGTTGGAAATATAGCCGTTGGAATATGTAACGTCAGGATATAGCCGTTGGGGGGGTTGCCATGTGGTGCGTGCTCGTTGGCTGCCCGTGGGCGGGCGTCACCGGTTGGGCGAAGACACGGCGTGTAATGATGATAGTCCAACCGAAGGCCCAGTTTCCAGGCCCAAGCCCGGATTCCAGCACCTATAAATACCCCATGGCCGGCTCCCTTCCCCCTGTGCAAAATCCCTATAGCGAAGCTCTGCCAAAATTTCTAGAGAGAGAAACAGCAGCCCTCGATCAATCCCTGCCTTAAGGTCAGTTCCCCCTGCTCTTCTCGTTGTAGTTAGCTGTGCCCTGTGCCCTTAGGCTAGGAGATAGAATTTTTTAGAAAACACTAGTGTTTCCGAGCCCTCGGACTATAGCCAAGATGTCTTCCCAGAGTGACTCCCAGGACATATCGAGGGATCCATCGGTGGAAGATGAGAGCTTCTCAGACGCTGGGTCCTCAAGTGAGCAGCCCTCGGTCCAAGAGGACGTCGCGATGGCGATAGAGGTACAGAAAGACCTGACGGCTGAAGTCGAAGCCGAGGGCTTTGAGCAGGAGGCGGAGGACGAAGACCTAGCCCTCGTCGTGCAGGTTGCAGAAGAGGAGGAAGCAAAGGAGAGGACAAGGGTGGACAGTGGCTGTCCTTCCCCCCCCCCCCCCCCCCCCCCCCGCGGCTCTGGTGAAGCAAGCAGCTCGATCGAGGGAGAAGAAGGCGAAAGCGAAAGCTGCTACCAGGAAGAAAGTCGGGGCTGCCGACCAAGGGAAGCCCGTTGATATGCCCGAGGGGTATTCTTGGCTGAACACTAAGGCCCTTGAGATAAAGTCGAAGGAGGACAAGGCGGATCTCTACGTCACGCAGCTACACGTAGGGCCTTCGGCCGTGGTGGTCGAGCCGGGAGTTGACGATGTGCTGTCTCGGGCGCCCGAGGGGTGTATTGCAGTACACGTACTGTCGGTCTCCATGGGCCTTCGGTTCCCTCTGCACCCCTTCCTCCGGGAGTACCTTAGGTTTGTTGGCTTGGTCCCCTGCCAGCTGACACCTAATAACCACTCCTACGTGGCGGGTTTTTTGAACCTCTGCAGGGAACGAGGGGTGACCCCCAGCCTGGACTTGTTCTTCCAGAGCTTCAACCTCTGCCGAGGGGGTCACGCGAATGCCGAGGGCTTCGCCAACCTGCAGCAGATAGCTAGGTGGAAGCTATTTACAGAGGCGCCTTCGTCCAATAAGGGCTGGAAGGAGCGATGGTGCTACGTCAGAGTTGCTGAGAGCCCATTTCCGGCGGAACTTCGGGATCGCTTCCGTCGGCATCCGAAGGTTGGAAACGCCGCTCTCGAGAAGGATGGCTTGATAATAGCCAAAATCCCGGAGGGCCGCACGAAGCAAGTGTCTATTAAAGATTACACTGCCGACAAGGAACTCTTCGCCCTCGGCTTCCGGAGATACCGCTTCATCGGGGAAACGGACGAGAAGTATCCCGTTTTTGCTGAGGCCTTCGGGGGAGCAGAAGGTAGTCTACGAGGGCCCTTAGTCTTGTACTTAGGCATTCTTATTTTGCATCCCGATAGTTGTCTGTTGTATGGATCCTTCGGGTTAATCTTTTCTCTTCATTTTCTTTTTTGCAGGTATGGAGGCTCTCTTTGCCATGAAAAAGAAGAAGGAGAGGGGTCAGGTCCAGAAGAAGGAGAAAAAGGAGCCCTCGGGCCAAAAACCCATTGATGAGGTCTTCCCGAAGGAGGTTGTGGAGCCTTCTGTTGATGTTGCCCTT